CTAATCAATTCAATATATTCCTCATGCAGTCACGAAGATTGCAAACCCTCCCAAAATGCTGCAATTAGAAGTCAACTTCTCTCTCCCTTCCGCTCCATTACCCTCAACAATATATGGTTTCCATGTCGTAGTCTGACGTCGATTGTGTCACAGAGTGCACAGATCTGGCTTCCGATGCTGGAGAATATGACCGATCTAGGTTACCCTCGAACATATTCGAACCAAGATCTTGCTGCTCGTCATTGAGGATGATGGAAGGTCGGCTTCCAATCAGGTAAATCTGACGACGACCCTCATCTCACAAGTCATCGTCGCTGCTTGCCTCCTCCATCTCCATCGATGCCCTTCTCTTGTCGCCGCCTGCCTCCTTGATAACAACAAAGTCAGCGTTGGATCAGAGTTACGCAACCCAAACCCAAAAGAATTGAGCTTCTTGATTCCCGGTGAACAAACAGGGGAACTAAACAAGCTTGTGAAGCTTGTTTCGTGATGAATCGGGATGGAAACGAGAGGGAATCCTCACACCTGGGAGGATGCACAGTCGTTATAAGGTTACCTTCGAATGATCGAGTGGGGTTGCTCGATCAATAGGCCAAAGTTCAGAAAGTTTTGATCGCAACCAAAACCAAAACAACTCACAACTCAAAACGTTGAGAATTTGGGGTTTTCTTCACAAATCAATTCTACCTATTACAATGCAATGGAACGTCCTTAAATAGACTTAGGCTAGCTAACAACTCAATATGAAAGTCCTAAACAGAATCAAACTATGAAATCAAACGCAAACAGGAAAAAAGGTAAAAGAATCCTAATCCGCAAAGGACATGGATTGCTGGGTTTGCAAGTCAATTTGGCTAGTCTTCTTACGATCTTGCAAAGCTTCGTTGAAAGACTTCAAGGTAGAGTTTTAATAAACCAATCCCACGTCTCTGCACCAAATGATATATATTTTCATGTAGCATAATTCTCATCACTCGAATCATAGCCAAATTCCTCGAATAGGACTTCAAAGGGAGCTTCTCAAACTGCCTTCCATACTTAGCCAAAAACTGGCAGCTTCCAGGTTTTGGCAAAAGGGTTTTGATGAGCCTGGAATTTGGACTTCTGGACTTCTCCTTGCCAAACCAAACATACCAACATGTAAAGGAGCATTTCATGCTTCAAATAAGCCTTCAAATCATCATTTCCATCGAGCCATTGGTAGGGAACGAGCTTGCAAAGTGACCTCCCCGAACCTGTATCAACACTTAGCCAAAATTTAGGGGTCGTTTGGAGAATATGAGTTTAAATCTATAGATTGTCAACAATCTAAAGATTCTAACTCTTCGGATTGTTGAAAACAAATTTTAAAATGTTTATTGTTTGGTAACTATGATTGTTAACATTCAAGTAAAATAAAAAAAATTAATTTTATGTTAAATAACATGTTTATCCTTAATAAAAAATAGAGTGGTTCGTGAAATATAAAAAACTTTGTTGATAAATATATTTCATGTGATAAATAAATAAAAGGATGAGAAAAATTAGGAGAGAAAAAATCTCACGAATCAAGATATAGAATCTCTCTGATTATGAGAGATTTGATATCCGCAGATTTTAGAGATTTGAAATCTCTAAAGCTAGAATCCACAATACAAAAAGCAACAAAAAAACATAACTTTCTACAAAATCTACGGATTCAGTGAATCCATGTCCTCAATCATGTTCTCCAAACGACCCCTTATAGTTATTGAAATGGAATGAATTGGGTTCGTTGTCACTTAATCCGAGACTTGAGATTGATCTAGGTGAGATCATATCACTCGATTATTATCGACAACCTCCTCTGTTCTTCAGGGCGTTCGTGACTGCGCCGTCGATCAGAGAAAAAGAGAGAACGTGACGGGAAGGGTTTGTGAAAGTGGATAGGGGAGGTGGATGTTTTAGAGAGTGGAGAGGCAGCCATAATTTTGCCATATATATTAGGGTTTGTGGTGAGTAGTTTGAGTTTTGACCAAATTAACCTTTATGAAAGTCTAACCGTAGGATTAAATTTTTATCTGATGGTTGGAAATTTAGTTAGTATTGCTTAATCTCATTCCATGGTTCCGTGATCAAATTCTGGCGGTTAGTTAACCATAAAAAAAAGGTATTGCATGCTTCTAACTTCTAAGTTATAGCTCCATATCCCGCACTAGTTCTTAGTTAGCTCAGTCAAAAGAACGTAAATAAAACCCAGTCCACCGTCGTTAATTACCAAGTAGAAATAATCGAATTAAGCACTCTTGTCTTGATTAAGGACTCAATCATAAGTTTTGCATGCCCCTTACCAAATAGAGAGATCAGACTGATTCAGCTGTGAATGTATGCATGTCGGCCGTTTGTCAACTCATTAATTAATTGACACCTTGTCAAGTCATCAACCCTGCACTGGCCTGCAGGCAAGGACTACTTAATGAAACTCAAATCCGTCAAGTGTTGATTAGTGTATGTAAAGTCATGTATCAATAGTCCGACCTGAAAACTTGTCTATCAGACGGTTCTAACGATATAAAAGTAATTAATTTGGTTAAATCACACTTTCAGTACAAAATACACAATGTATCCTTAATTTTTTTTTATAACGTTGGATACAATTTTATAATTATATCCTTGGTGCTAGCCAGCCAGCATCACCCATTTTTAAGGAACAAGAAGATTTAGAGCTTTCCGTAGTTGGCTATTCTAATTTTATGTTCGTCTTATTTGATTAGCAGGTGATTAGAACTGCAATATAATAAAAAAGCGTATTTCTATGTAAAAATGTTTTGGTGATAAAAGCGTAAAATCGTAAAATTTTAAAATGCATTTTTAACTACATAAGTTATAGAAAAAAACTAGGATCTTGCGTAGAAGCATTTTGGTAACCTTTAAGCGTAAAATGTAAGTTTTAAAGTTTTAAAACATGATTTTGACTATATTCATCTGAATTAATTAGCAACTTGTCGTCCTCTGATAGGTTATTCCATTAGTGTTTAATACATAATTAGCTACTCTTAGCAATAGCATCACATGACAGGGAGGCTCATCTTCTAATAATCGCGCGCATGATCATATTCAGTGTTATCAAAGTCGGACCAGACCGATGAAACCGTCACCCGACCTCCATCTGAAGTAATTAGCAACTTGTCATCCTCCGATAGGTTATGTTGTTAGTGTTTAATACATAATTAGCTGCTCTTAGCAATAGCACCACAGGACAGGGAGGCTCATCTTCTAATAATCGTGTGCATGATCATATTCAGTGTTATCAAAGTCGGACCAGATCGGTGAAACCGTCACCCGACCTCCATCCCGGTATGGTCAGGCTATTTAGCCACCACGGCTGGAACATTCCCTTTGAAAGCGAATCGACCGGTTAAACTGACGAACCGTTCGAACTGATTCAACGGTTTTACCAGTCAGAATCTTGGTGACAAAATTCCAGCCAATTGGAGAGGGTTGGGATTCAAACCATGCACCTCCTGGTACAAAGTTAAATCATTTTCCAGTTGTGCTGCTACCAATTTGTGTAGCAAGAGCTACAAGTCTTATTATTAAATGATCTCACAGTGTTTAGTTTTGAAATAAATCATTAAATAGTGTTCATAACTATTACAACTTGGTTTAGCATCGTCTGGAATGCGCATACCTTTTGGGAGAGCACAACAAATGAACCCAGAAGGGAGCTTCAGACGAAACAGATCGTTTGGAAGCCACCACCCGCTGAATGGATACAAATCCAAAGCGACGGATCGGTCCACCACTACAAAAAAAGACTATCATTAGTGACAAAAATTAATGATGGCCGCTACAACTAGTCGCTAAAACTCACTATTACTGACAAAATTTTATTATCGTCAGTAATGCTTCGTCAACTAGTTGAGTATTTGTGACAAAGGAAAGGCTGCTGGAGGTGGCCTCTTCCGTGACCATCTCGGCAGATGTCATCGAGCCTTTGTCTGCAATTTGGGAAGCTGCTCGATTACGTGTGCGGAGTTGAAAGGTGCAATGGAAGCCTGAAGATTGTGTGAGAGGAAGGATATAGGAAAATCTAGCTCAACCTGGACTCGGAGACGGTTATTTCTATCATCAACAACCACTAGGATGATGATCACAGGCATGGACAAGTTGTTGTTTTGTTTAGGAATCTTTTGGACCGAGATTGGGAGATCAAAATCTCTTACGTGTATAGAGAGTCGAACTGTGTTGCTGACTCTACTTTGCGAACGTTGTGCACAACTCCCCTTTTGGCACACATTCCTTCAATGTGTACAACCCAGAGCTTAGATATTGGTTGTACTACGATGTAATGGCATTGCCCAAGAATGTTCTATTAATTTAATGCACTAGACGCAATGCGTCAACCTTTCAACAAAAAAAAAACTATTAAAAATCACTCGTATTACTTAAATAATTAATATTTTTGTACAATAATAAGCTTTACTTGTCATATATAATTTTTTGTTTGAATATATTATCTTTAATTGTCATATATAATTTTTTGTTTAATATATTTTTTTGTTTGAATATATTAAAATCAATATTTAATTATAATATCTTTAATTGTTTCTACTTATAATAATTATATTTCTTAGACACTGGTTCAATAACGAATTTATAACAGCTTGATACCGGTTAACCGTTTACCGATCCATATCTCTCCCATCAGCAAAGCCGAACGCTGGTTGCGGAAAACACACGTGTCCCTTCTGGGGACGCCTTGGATTTCCCCTATTCCCTTTCCGTCACCAAGCAAACGACCAGTGTCATTCTCCACGACCCTACGTGTCGTCCTCGTTTCAACGCTCATCTGCCGCATCATCCAACACGTGTCACTCTGGCCAACGTCCTGTTCCCCTCCCGTACTCACTTATTTAAACCCTAACTGTGTACTCTTCTTCGCTACCATACCATACCATCACAGCAACAACAACAAAAAACAGAAACTAATTAAAGATCCGTATACTTGCGTTATCCAAATCCCAAGCAGCTAAATAGAAATGGCATCACAGCAGCAGCAGAACAGGGAGGAGCTGGACGCGAGGGCGAGGCGCGGCGAGACGGTGGTCCCCGGCGGGACGGGCGGGAAGAGCCTGGAAGCCCAGGAGCATCTGGCGGAAGGGAGGAGCAAAGGAGGGCAGACGAGGAAGGACCAGCTGGGGACGGAAGGGTACCAGGAGATGGGCCGGAAAGGTGGGCTCAGCACCACCGAGGAGTCCGGCGGGGAGCGGGCCCAGAAGGAAGGGATTCCGCTCGACGAGTCCAAGTACAAGACCAATACCTAGACGACAAGCCTTGGCTATACAGTACGTAGTGTAATGTTAAATGGGTCTTTTGGGTGGTTATTAGGGTTTTGGCTTGCATCTCTCTAGCGTACATGAGTTCGTATGTAATATAAGTTGGTGATGAAGTACACTCCTCCGTTGTAGTTTTTGTCGTACGTGGGTCTTTCTGTATGTGTTTGAGCTGGTTGTCTGGGCAGCTGGGACGAGTGTGGATCTATGGCCGGTTTGCCTAGTCTGTAAATTATATTATGTACGTTCATGTGGTGATGAAAATAAAGTACTCTGTAACTTGGTTCAGAGCAACACTTGATTAACCGATCATGTCACTTCGCCCCTAGTCGTCCCATGCACGCCATTTCCGGTACACGATGGTGGAACTTTGGGTATCTATATAACAGAGGCAGAACGTGCCTGCGTATGTAGGGCGCAGAGACATAAAAGCTACAAATAGAAGTAGGGAGGTATAGCATGAGAAATCTGCAAACATGATGCATACTAGCTAGATACTACTAAACAAACCTGATTGCACTCTCTCCAATCACACGAACATAACCAAATCAGAGCATGAACCTATTACTAAGTCTTTCATTATATATTGTTTTTTGGCAATGTGTATTTTTTACCCAAACCTTTTTCAGATTTTTTTATTTTAACCAAACCTATTGAATTCCTAAAAATTATCCAAACGTTAACTCTCCGTTAATTTTTATGTTAGTAATGCTGACTAAGTATGACCATAATGAGTTGACTTCCTTCGTGGCGGTCAGAATACTATCATTTACTATTTTTAATAAAAAGATTATCAAAAAACAAAATAAAATCTCACCTCTCATGTGGACGAAATAAGTAACGATAACAGAATGAATGCCCAGACTTTGATAAATTATAATACGTTTGGATAATAAATAGAATTTCTATAGGTTTGGTTAAAATAAAAGAATCTAAAAAAGGTTTGGGTAAAAAATATACATTGCCCTTGTTTTTTTTATTCACATACTTTATTACTTTAATTATTATTATTATTTATATTTATCTCTATAAAAGAACATAGTAGAACGTAGTGTCCCAAGTGGTTTCTTTTTATAATTAATCAAAATTTGTGGGGGATTTTGTGCTTTAATCAATTAATTTTATGCTATTAAGGTATTAAGGTTCTAATCAATTAACGTATGACAATTGAATCCTAATTGAATCTAAATCAATAGTGTTCTACCTAATTCGACACCGTCAAAGCGAGTTGAACTCGATTTTTACAAATTTTTGAGTCGATAATGAGTTCAGTGGGTTGAACCTGGGTAAGCGAGTTTTACACGCTTAAATCAATAGAGTGAGTTGAACTCGGTATTAACGAATTTTGGGTCGAGAAAATTTTTTCTCTGTCTTCCTTTCGCTTATCGATCACGGTTACGGTTGTTTTACTACATTTTTTTGTCTACGCCTTGCAAATGATTTTTACCGTTTTTGTTTTTGTTGTGTAGGGCATGCAAATGATTTTGGAGACTTTAGTGGTTAGATCTTTCAGTCCCGGACTCTTTAAAAGAACAATTTTTGGCTTACTATTTGGTTGAGTCACATTACCTAAGATTATTTTATTGTTTGCTTTTCTTTAATTAATCAAATGTTTTAATTATTTCTTGATAGTTGAACTCAAATTCATGTGTATTAAACCTAATTCTACTTGATTTCGGTGTTGTCAAATTTTGGGTCGGGAATGAATTTTACCCATCTTTTAAAATCTCCTCTTATGACAATTGAACCCAAACTCATGTGTGTTCAAGCTAATTCGAGTCGATGTCGATGTATCCAAATTTTGGGTCGAGAATGAAATTTACCCGATTTTATAATTAACGAATAGGGTCGGGTGTGAATTTTGTTAATAACACACCCCACTTTACTCGGTATTAACGAATTTTGGGTCGAGCAAGTTTTTTTTGTCATTTCTTCGCTGCTACGGTCGTTTTACTTCTTTTTGTCTCCGCCTTGCAAATGGTTTTTTACTGTTTTTTTTTTTTTTTGTCTCGGGCTTGCAAATGATTTTGGAGACTTTAGGGGTTAGATCTTTTAGTTGCGACATTTATCTGTTTAAAAGAACAAGTTTTGGGTTACTATTTGTAGAGTCACATCAACTAGAATTATTTTATTGTTTAATTTTTTTAATTAATCAAATATTTTAATTATTTCTTGATAGTTGAACTCAAATTCATGTTTACTCAACCTAATTCAATCGGGTTTTTGTATTGCCGAATTTTGGGTCGGGAACGAATTTTACCCATCTTTTAAATATTTCCTCTTATGACAATTGAACCCAAACTAATGTGTGTTAAAGATAATTCGAGCCGGTGTCGATGTATCTGAAATTTTGAGTCGATAAAAAAAATTTCCCGCTTTTATAATTAAAGAATAGGGTCGAGCGTGCATTTTAGTAAGAACACACCCCGCAATCCAGTGTTCTCGCATTTTTGGGGAGAGAACACATTTTAACCTCCTTTGTGATCGACGGATTGGGTCGTGTGTGGATTATGTTAGAAACTCGAACCGCTTTATAAAATCGGTCAGACAAATTCATGTGTGTCACAAATTTTGGGTCGCTTTGGGATTGAACCCAAATTGAACCCGCCTCTTACGACAATTGAACCCAAAATCCCGCTTTATCGAGTTAAATCCAGTGTTGACACATTTTGGGTCGATCGATGATGGTTTTACCCTTGACACTTTTGGGGGGCGTGAATGAATTTTATCCACTTTTGTAATCATCTAATTGGGTCGAAAATACACTTTACCTGCTTTTGTGATCGACGGATTGGGTCGCATGTGGATTTTGTTAGAAACTCGTCCGCTCTATTAAAACGGTCAGAGAAATTCATGTGTGTTTAAGCTCATTCATGTGTGTTCACAAATTTTTTGTGTCGCTTTGGGATTGAATCCAAATTGAACCCGCCTCTAATGACAGTTGAACCCAAATTCATGTTTCTTCAAGCTAATTTGACCCGGTACCGCTCTTGTCGAGTTTTGGGTCGAGAACAAATTTTACCCACTTTTAAATTTGATGAATAGGGTCGGGTGTGCATTTTGTTAAAAACACACCCCCACTTTATCGAGTTAAATCCAGTGTTTACGCATTTTGGGTCGATGACGAGTTTTACCCTTGACACTTTTGGTGGCGAGAACGCATTTTACCCGCTTATGTGATTGACAACTTGGATCACGTGTGGATTTCGTAAGAAACTAGCCCCGCTTTATAAAACTGGTTAGAGAAAGTCATGTGTGTTCAAGTTCATTCATGTATGTCCACAAATTTTGGATCGCTTTGGGATTGAACCCGCCTCTTATGACAGTTGAACCCAAAACCCTGCTTTATCGAGTTTAACTCAGTGTTGACGCCTTTTGGGTCGAGGACGAGTTTTACCCTTTACACTTTTGGGGGCGTGAATGAATTTTATCCACCTTTGTAACCATCAAATTGGGTCGAAAACGTATTTTACCCGCTTTTGTGATCGACAAATTGGGTCGTGTGTGGATTTTGTTAGAAACTGGCCATTGTATCAAACCAGATAGAGAAATTCATGCGTTCTCATAAATTTTGGGTCGCTTTGGGATTGAACCTGCCTCTTATGACAGTTGAACTCAAATTCATGTGTGTTTACTTTGAACTAATTTAACCTGGTACCGATGTTGTCGAGTTTTGGGTTGAGAACAAATTTCACCCGCCTTTGTACTTAACAAGTTAACAAATTGGGTCGGGTGAGGATTTTGTTACAAACGTGGCCAGCTTTATCGAATTGAATCCAATGTTGACGAATTTTGGGTCGGAGATGAGTTTAACCGCTTTTGTAATTAACGGATTGGGTTGCATGTGGATTTTGTTAAAAGCTTGCCGCGCTTTATCAAACCGGACAGAGCAAGTTGAATCCAATTTTCACAAAAAAGGGTCGTTTTGGGATTGAACCCACGTCTTATGACAATTGAATTGAACCCATGTTCATGTTTGTTCAAGCTAATTCGACCCGGTACCGTTATTGCCGCATTTTGGGTCTGGAATAAATTTTACCTACATTTGTAATTAATGAATTGGGTCAAGTGTGGATTTGTTATAAATTTGCTCCGCTTTATCGAGTTGAATCCAGTGTTGAACTTTTTTTGGTCGTGGACGAGTTGTACCCTAACTCGCTCCTACCGTCACTCTAGAAAATGGCCAAGTGTAACCACTTCCTAAAGCGTAGTATAGCGGGTTTGGGTTTTAATGTCAACCAGGGTCCTAGATGTGTTGACTACTCAGTGAGTTCTTATTATTTAGCGGTAAAACTTTAGTGCAGGTCCAAACAAGCAAAGCAAGTAAAAAGGGTTGTTCTCAAGTCGATAGAGGTCACCCGAATATGGTTCCCCCTAGACTGCAGTTAAGCCGGATTGTAATTCACCAAGTTCAATTTCAATGATAGTTATAATGTGGGAGGTTCTTAAACAGTCTGAAGTCTCGACTAAAGGTCTCCAGACCCTCTCAATCTGAGTCCCCAGCGGGCGACTAACCTCCACCGGATTAAACAGATTGAGGCCCTAACGAACCAAACCTCCACTACCGGAGTAAATCCGGTACAGAATAGTGAATTGACTCCTCGACTAAAATCGTCAATTCACTACCTTCAATCAAGGGTGCTCTATCAACCTAGGCAGATATTCTCATTCTACGTTAAAGCAGAAACAACAGGAATTTGATCAGGATTCATGTCATTCAACAAATCAAACCTCAATTGAACATAATCAAATCATAGAATCTGTACTTGGGTTCATACAATCAGACCTAACATACAAATCTAGGGTTCTTCATACCCAGGTGAATAGGAAAGTTACTCCATAGAGAGAGATGGGAAATCTAGCTCAGATGCGGAAGCCATACTGTGAAGGATGATAAACTGCTTCTGGCACTCAATCGGATCTTCTCCAAGCTCAAGCCAGGCTCCAATGGTGATGGAGATCGATCTAGGACACTTGCAGAATCAGGTTTG